CTTAGGGCAGGCTGGGGAGGCGAGGTGGGGGGTCAGGGAGGGTGGGCCTGGCTTCCATCCGAGGGTGCCCCAAACGCCAGGGCTCCCCCTGTCCACCAGGCAGCTCCCAGCCAGGCCTGGGCCACCTGTGACAAAGCCACCGACTAGGAGAAGGGCAGACCGCCGGGTGCCACCAGGCCCAAACAGGAGGGGGACCGAGCATCGGCTCAGGGTCCTCAGAAAACACCAGGCTGTGGCCGAGACTGGAGGAGAGGACTGTCCAGGGAAGGAGCGGTCCTTCGGCACCTTGCTCACTTCGGGGCTGGGGTGGAGGCCGCCTTAGAGAGCCCAGACCCCCACCCACCAAACCAAGAGACCCCCACCCCACCAAACCGAGAGCCGGTCACCAGGGAAGACGGTTGCAGGGCCACGCGTTCACCGTCTGCAGAGTTCAGCTCCTTGACACTGAGGAGAGATGGAGGGCACCAGGTGCCAGGGACTCGCGCCTTGTTACTCGGTGGAATTTACACCGTGGACCACGGACTGTGTGTGTGGGAGAGAGACGGAGGGAGAGAGAGGGAGGGGGAGGGGACAGGTGAACGCAGGACCCTCCTCCTAAAACGCGTGGTCCCCAGGCCAACAGATCAGGGGGGGCAGCTTGTCCGCACCTTGAAAGCCTTCCAGGTGGGTCGGTACCTGTGCCCGTGGCCACATCCTGTGGGCCTTTGGCCTCCCTCTTGTGGGGACAAACGAGTGTTCTGGCTGGACGCGGGAAGCCGCTGGTCAGTCTCACTACAACCCCGGGAGGCGGGGACCAGAGGGAACGTGATGGATGCAGGGTCGGGTCTGAAATGGTGTGCTCAGGCCGGAAGCCTGGACCCACACCCGCCAGAGGGGATCCCACAGAGGGATTCAGGTTCTGCTTCCCGTTAAGACTCAATAAACACCCACACGTCACTTTGGAGGGAGGAGAGACGGGGCTTGAGGGCAGCTGGGCCAAGAGATGCAGCCTCTGCGCTAGACCTCAAGGTCAGTGGGGGGGGGGCAGAGCATTAGCCCCCGAGCTTGGAGCTGGGCGGGCAGCTCCATGTTCCAGAGTGACACTGACCAGCTAGACAGTGGCACCGAGGGGACGGTGGTGACAGGGACCAGGGCCTGCAGACCTACCCAGGAAGGGTACCTGTGTGACCTGAGGAGCGGGAGACGGCAGGAGGCACCTGGAGGTCAGGGCAGTGTGGGAAGAACGGAGGCACCTCCTGGGCCGCCCTGAGAGCAAGCCAGGACCCAGGGGC